GTCCACCCATGCATATTCAAACTCCTTCTTTTTGAAGTTATATTCTAAATTAGCTTATAAGTAGTATGATTCTGAGAGATGCCCAGTCCTAGGTGACACATCTACAGTGGAACCTCTACACCTAAGACTCATGGAACACAGTGGAACAGGGGTAGAGCAAAAAGTAATGCATCCCTTAACTCTCACCAATGAAGATTCCTTTTACAACAGATTGTGGTGCATACAACTGGCCAAGGTTTAGAGAATAAGAGACTGCAGAGTGTGTGTCCCTGGATAGGATTCTTATACTAAACCTCACCCACCCACGACTCAGAGACCATTGCAGAAAGACTATAAGAGTCAGTGTTGGTTCATGAACATAGGAAAGCAAAGGTTTTCAGGCCAGTGGAAGTTTGCACATGTGAACTTGCAGCAATGGTGGCATCAAGCACAAGACCATGCTAACTCAATCAGACAAAGGCCCAGATTGGAATGAGGGAAATGGGTGGCAGGCTGGCTTTAGTCTGGGAAGTGCTGGAGATTAATTACTCCTGGGTGAGGGAGAGTGGATCTTACCGATGAACTCTAGATGGGATGAACAGACTCCAGTGGATGAATTTGTACCAAAGAAGAGCTGATTGCAAATGCTTGACATGATAGAATTTAGCATGTATGGCAGAATATATGAGGTTTGGCCACAGGTGGTGTGTGTGCCAGCATGGATGGGGAAGGTAGTCTACATTTGATTAAGAACTGTTGTATGAAATTTATAAACAGTCAATAAATATATTTTTAAAAAGAAAGCAGAGACTTTCTAATTAGTGAATCCTTAATGCCAACACTCAAGGGTTTGGTAATTTGTGACAAATAATGAATAGCTGATTATGAATAGGAGGGATGGGAATCTCTTAGCTTAAGATATTTTCAGAGCAAGCATGTGTAAAGATATCCAGGCAGTAATAATTTTGTCACTTTTAAGTACCCTGCATATGTTTAGTAAATACTGAAATGGAGGTGAGAGAGATGTCGATATGCCTTTTCCAGTGGTTTGGATTTCCTACCATTGAGAATGGCCATTGATGGGCATTAAGTGATACTCCACAGTATCAGATTTGAACTTTAGGGGATTTTTCTTTGAAAATGGAAGATAATTATTAAAAGGGGATGTTTGCAAGTATGCAGTCCTAGTACAATAAGTGCAGATAAAGATAGTGTTAAGGGCTTGGACTAAGGTCAAGTGAGGACAGTACCAGAAAAGGGCTTGGGAAAGAAAAACATCAATCCTTCTCTCATTAGGGTCTATTTCTGAGAAAGGAGAAATCAAACTAGGGTACAGTTACTAAGACTGGAGTAGGAAGTTTAGAATCCATAAAAATCAGTTTAGAGGTCTTAACATCCTATCTGTCTCACCACCTCATTTCTAAAATATTCTTTGATTTCTAACAAGTGGTTTTCGATAATGGATAAAATTTAAAACAGTAGATGTATATCATTCCATTCATTAATTCCCACCATTTTAGGAAAATACCAATTTCTTCAGTATAGTGGAAGAGCTATGATATAAGAATTTATATTTGCAGGGGCTGGAGAGATGGCTCAGTGGTTAAGAGCACTGACTGCTCTTGCGCAGGACTCGGGTTTGATTCCCAGCACCCACATGACAGCTACGAACTGTCCTTAACTCCAGTTCCAAGGGAATCTGAAGCCCTCTTCTGAATTTCACAGCATTGCACAACACATGTGCACTCACATACATTGCAGGCAGTACACTCATACACATAAAATAAAAATAATAATAAATAAAAAAAAATTTAAAAACTATTTATATTTGCTCATTCTTCCCAGTTAGTAGGACTATTCCATCATAGACAGATTTATTCTCAGGTAGAGGAAACTGATTTAACGTACTAAATATGAAATATAAGAATCGCGACACTGAGAAATTAAAGCTTCCTGTTCATTGATCATACATTAGAGGTGAGTCCAATAATGTTTCTTGCCATCATTATTTTGGCACTTGTCAGCAAAAACTTTACAAAACCGAATGCTTGCTGTGTACCTTCTAATCATATAATAATGATCATTGAAAATAAGAAAATTCTGTTTGTTTTTCTTACAAATGAACTCCAACAGTTTCTGCAAGTAGTTCTTTAACAGTCATGAGAGGGCTGGGGAGATGACCAGAAGTTAAAGTAGTTGCTATGCAAGCAGCAAGCATGAGCACTAGGATTTAGATCCTCAGAACCCACATGAATGCTGGTATATCTGGGGCCCCACTTGTAATATGAGCATTGGGAAGGTAGAAACAGGGAATCCCTTAAGCAACCTGGCTAGTCAGATTAGCCCTATTGGCAAGCAACCAGGCTCAAGTGAGAGATCCTGACTCAATGAATAAGGTGGAGAGTGATCCAGAAAGACTCTCAATGTCAACCTCCTGACTTTACACAAATGAACATATGTGCATGCACAAATATGTAAACACACATGCACACATCCAACACACATACACCAATGAGAAAAATGTTAATGACAAAGAAAATCATGTAATTAATGCAGTTGGTCAATACTGCTGTCAAAATCAGACTGAGTTTTAAAAAATTAGGTTACTTCTTACCCACTTATGAATGCTGTGAACTACAGCAATGACTGACATGGAAAGGAATGACTGTGTGTAGCAGGAACTATAAGTGTAACGAGCCATTTTTCTTAATGGATTTAGGCTGCCTCCACCAGTGGAAACTCATATCAGCCAAGAACTCATGACCCATAGATAAACCTAATACTATTCTGCCAAGTGGACATTGTATCAAACTGTACTCAAAATTTCTATCTACTTGTAGATTACTGAAGTCCCCAGAACTCATCAGAGAAGTTTCTTTGTGCAGTGGACAGTGGTTAACTCTCAAATTCGTAACTGGGCCAAGTATAGAGAATAAGTGTGAGTGGAGTTAGTGCTCAACCACATATTGGCATTTGTATCACCCCCATGTCCCAAGCCTCAGGGACCATCATGGAAGAAAGGATGGAAAGACTCTAATGGCCAGAGCTTGGGAAAGACCAGAGAAAAACAGTGTCTTCTGGACAAGACAGGACTACTGTACTCATGAGCTCTCAGAAACTCGGGCTGCCGATAGAAGGCCTGCAGCAGATCAAGGCAGGTGACACTGTAGCATGGAGTAGGGATGGGCTCACAAGCCCCCACTGCTAACTGAGGGTCTATTGACAGTTGATGGGTTCTGAGGTGGGGAGAAGACTCATTTTCTTTAAGCATAGAGTCCCTCATAGGGACCATGTTCCAGTGGCTGTCCCCATATTCATGAATATATGGAGGCTCAAATTTAACCCAGTGAGCTATTAAAAATAAAAAAGACACTGGGGCTGGAGAGATGACTCAGCAGTTAAGAACACTGCCTGGTCTTACCAAGGACCCCTGGTTCAATTTCCAGCACCCACATGATGGCTGACAACCATCCATAACTCCAGTTCCAGGGGAATTCATGCCTTCTGATCTCTGCGGGCATTGCATGACATGAGTGCACTAGCGTACATGCAGGCAATATGCTAATACACATAAAATAAAAATAAATAAATAAAATATATTTTAAAAATCACAAAGTTAGAAAGAATTGGGGGAGGTGAGAGTAGATTTTGAATGTGGAAGAGTGTGGGTGAATAGGATCAAAATACATTGTATGAAATTATCAAATAATTAATACAAACATATTTTTAAAATATTACTTTATAGTGTAGTCACTCATCACATTTAAAAAAAAATTCCAACAGAGGATGTCATTTTACAGTTGCTGCATTTGAACTGTTCATTTCTCAAGTTCACTCTTTCATCCAAGTGTCATTCCCTTGTCCTGTCTTCTGTCGAGATGCCATTGCCCCTGTACTATTCCAGTAAGTCTAACAAGAATAAGAATGAACTTCTTTAGGGCTTGATATTTTGAAACACTAGAACTCACATTCTTTGTCCTTCCACGTCCTGGTTTTACAACTCAAAGTTCTTGTCATAAATAGAAAAATTCGAAACACTTCACTATCATTGAATTTTTCCTTTCAAGTCAAGGGCAGGGGAAATAGTGTGAAAGGACAAAAAATTCCTCAGCTGATATATAATATTCCTTCCAATGAATTTTATTTTAATGCTTCTGAAAATTTTTTACATATCTAGGGTTTGAGGGTCATATATAGTAAAAAAAACTTACTACTTTTTATTATTTGATACCTAAGAGAAAACCCAGATAGGAAAATTATCCAAGCTTATTAAAACCCCTAATCAGTAGGTAATTAATTAGCACATGGTAAGCCTCTGACATTTTCTACATGGAGAGATAATAATTAGTGTCTGCGAGTTTAGATGCCAACAGCTAGAAGGGATTTAGAGAGGCTGAATGAAGTGGTGTGCGTGCGTGTGTGTGTGTGTGTGTGTGTGTGTGTGTGTATTTGTATAGTTACATGGCATTCATGACTTTTTGTATTTAAAATAACATTTGATTCATATGCAATGAAAACTTTCTATTCAAAAATAAATTTAAACATTATCATAGCATCGTTTCATAAAATGTGTTACTCAATCTTATCTGAAGGAATGTTGGCAACTGATTGCTGCTAGATGAAGAAGAGATGATCTTCCTAAAACAAGGGACTCTAGATAGGCTGACTAGACTCAGTGGATAGACTTGTACTGGGGAATGGTTGGGGACACTGACAATCCAGTGAGCCTTAACAGGGATGACAGAGTATATGGGCTCCAGTGGGGGGGGCTATGGGAGGGTGTCAGTGGGGATGGGGGTATAAAGGTTATTAAGATTGTTTGCGCTGTTATGTATGAAACACACAAAATATTCAACAAAAAATTTTAAAAATATGTTACTAATTACTGTTAGAAAAATATTAAAATATATAAAAATAGGTTGAGTAAGTAACAACATAGCATTATAAACATTATTTGTAATAATATAAATTATTTATGTATATCTTCTCTGGATTTTTAGATTGCTTTCTTTGTCTTTCAGAGTATTCATCAACAGCCTTCGACTGTACAGGTCCTTCTATGGTGGCTTAGCTGATCAACTTTGCATTAATGAATTAGCCGCTGCGGATGGACAGCCCTGCTGGGATGGGGAGGATGTAGTGAAAAGGTAAATTATATGTGTGGTCTGAAGGATCACTTTTAATCCTTGCTTTATATTCCTGACTATAGAATGGATACTTTCTGTTTTTATCCTATAACACAAGTAAAAGTAGAGATTAATTATTTTTCCTTTTAATTTCTTAAAGTAAACCAGTCCTTTCTATCATTATAAACTAGGAAAGCATTATGTGTTGTTTTTAAAGTTCTTTACTTATTTAGAGGTCTATGAGTTATACAACAGCCCCACTGTTAAAATTCTTATTTTCTCTCCAATTGGTTTTAGTTATTGAATATTTTATTTATTATTATTATTATCATTATTATTATTTGGTCTTTTTGAGATGGTCTCCTCAGCTGGCCTTTAACTCACTATGTACACCAGGCTGGCCTTGAACTCACAGTGATCTGCGTGCTTCTGCCTCTGATGCGCTGGGATTAAAGCCGTGCACCACCATACCCACCTGAATATTTTTTTAACTTAATGAATATTAGAACGTTGGAAAGTCAATGAAACGTAGATACCCATACAAAGATTAAGTCTATGTGTATGTCTGAGATAGGAAGGGACAGAGGGATGCAGAGAGGGAGAAAAGAAGGGAGGGAGAGGGGGAATGAAGGAAGTCAGGGAAGAGAAAGAGACAGAGAGACACAGGGGGAAGAGAATGGATAGGAAATATGGAACAGTGGTAGGCTAATGTATATTAGTTGAAGTAATTTTTACATATTGTTAGTAGTTCTCAAAGTGAGTAGTGAAATGCCTTTATTTCTTTGTTCATGTTTTGCTCCCTGTCCAAAGTTTCTAGGACAGCTTCTTTTTCTTTGATTCTTATAGCTAAGTGTACTCTCAAGCAGCCCCCTAAACTCGAGAAAAGCACAAATCCTGTCCCTTCTTTGTCATAGCAGGTGATTATTATGGGATGTGGGACAATAAGGCTTTCTCTTTGAATTTCAAAAGCATAAAATAAAATATACTTTTCATTTACACAATTCATGTTTGGATTTAAATTTATTAAAAAGCATATTTGGGGGGGTCTGTAAAGATGGTTCAGTGGTTAAGAATACTAATTGCTCTTGAAGAAGACCCAAGTTTTTTTTCCCAGCACCCACATGACAGCTAACAACTGTTGGCAACTCCAGGTCTAGGGGATCCAATGCCCTCTTCTGTTCCCCCATGACCATTGCATGTACGGGTGTACTTACATGCAGCTAAAACATTCACATACACAAAAATAAATAAATAAATAAATAAATAAATAAATAAATAAATAAAATTCACACCCCACTGTATGGTAAATGCTTTTTGACTTTGAATCTATGAAAATTCACTTTATTTTCTGCAGTATGAAGAAAGAAAGAAAGAAAGGTAGGATGTCCTGCATCCTTAAACACCTATTCAATATGATATCCAGTGGTTTATTGTCACTAAAGTGATGTGTTCATTTACAACATTATTTAGCAAATTAAATTACTGTGCTAAGCACATGTTGCAGTACAATTTTAATAGAAATGTTTGTGATAAGTTTTTTTTTTTAAGGAACATTTCTGGGTGATCATACTCATTATACTTAGAAGTCACATTCTGATATCTTAAATGACCTTATAGTAAATATATGGGATATCTCAGAAATTGTTTACATTCGCAGAAAAAGAGTTTCAAAAATAAGAACTGTGAATGGCAGGAGACCAAGCCTTTAATCCCAGCACCTGGGAGGCAAAGGCAGGTGAGTATCTCTCTAGACAGGGAGCTCTAGGCCAGCTGGGGCTACAGGGAGACCCTGTCTCAACATCAGTAACAACAGCAGCAGCAGCAGCAGGAGGAGGAACAACAACAGCAAATAGGACCTATAACTAAAGTGTAGTAAAGTATTTGGTGATTTGAACAGAACTCTTTTTCATAATGTCCCTTTGGTATACATCTTGCTGAGAGCAGTTATAAAATACAATTTTGAGCTGGGTGTGGTTATAATATGGCTTTAAGGCCTCATGCATGACTTATGAATTCAGAAATCCCATCTTTAGGTAAGGTTTTAATGTAAATCATCCACATTTTGAGAGCAAAATCATTCTTGGTAATCTCCTCTGCATCTAGTTCACCCTTCCCTATTCCACGCTACTCAGGGCTCCCACATATTAGCAAAGCCCAAGAGCACAGAGATGTCCATCACTCATGAACAAGCTTCACTGTGTTTTATCTGTCCTGAAATCATCTCTTCCAGCTTCGCGTTCGTGAACATCTTCTTCCTTCAGAATGTTTCAGTTTCCCCATTTCATGACTCCCCAGCGTATCCCCAGTTATGGAGTGCCCCTAAAGCCATTCTTAGAGTATGCCCACAATGAACATGTTTAAGACCTGATGATTTTGTAGTAGTAAATTAAGGGTTTCAGGCCCTAAATCATTTCATTCTTCCAAGACAACTCTAATATACTAAAATAAATTAGATTGTCTGTATGTCTTTCTACTTGATACTGAGAGAACTATTATGTACTTTATCTCTTCTTTGAATTTTTTCTTTTTTATTGAATTTTTGCAAATTGCATACACTATATTCACTATATTTTGATCTTTTTATTAAATTTTTTGTGTATTTCATAGAGAATAGCTCAAACAATCTTAATCATCTTTATACACCCATGCCCACTGGCACCATCCCATAACCCCTCTCCCCCCACTGGAGCCTGTATACTCTGTCATCCCTGTTAAGGCCCACTGGGTTGTCAGTGCCCTCAGCCGTTCCCCAGTGCAAGTCCATCCACTAAGTCTAGTCAGTCTAACTACAGTCCCTTGTTTTAGGAAGATCAGCTCTTCTTCATCTAGCAGCAATCAGTTGCCATCATTCCTTCAGATAAGATTGAGGTCTGCTGTTCATTTTCCCAGTTCTATACTGGGTTACTGTCTGCCTGAGTTTGCATGGGACTTGTGTATGCTGACACTATTGCCATAGAATCATATGAGCAGGTTCCCAGGAGCTTGTAGGACTGTTTCCATATAGTCATAAATTTTTAGCTTGGATTATAGTTCCACCTATAGCTCAGTCAGTGCTTGAAGTAAACAAAATAAGTAAAACAAAATAAGTGTAAACTTAATGTTAAAATCTAAACATCTGTGTAATCTAGTTGATTACTTTTACTGTGGAACATTATTTACCAATGAAAATATGAATATATTTGCTGTTGCGGCAAAATTTCAAACATCTGCTAAGTCAAAATAGCTAGAAATGGGATAATATGTATCTTACCAGTATATCTAAATACCTAAAATAGATACTAATACTGGGTCTGCATAGAATATTTTGGAAGGTTATAGGAAAATTGTTTAAATGCCAAACTTTATGACAAAGCATTAGAAAGAGGCATTTATTTTAAAAGTTCTATTATACATAGTTATTTGTAATGGAAACTGGTATTGCAGTGATGCTAGAATTATGGGGGTATTTACTTGGTTCATTTTGTTTTCTTTCTTATGCTTTTTTGTAAAAAATAAAATATTCACTTTGCAAGAAGTGCTATTTGTATTTTTTTATGGTTTTTGATTTCTAATTCAGATTTTCATAACAGTTTTATGTCCTTTTTGTTAAAGCATTGAGAGACATGTTTCAGTATTCAACTATTGAATTTGCTTAATACAATTTTCTTAAAATATTGAGTCCCGGTAACTGTTATGATATTAAATTTTTAACCAAGTTTGTCTTCAGAAAATAAAATGTGGCAGCGATCCCCAGTGAAAATCTGTAAGCATTCCTTACATAAGGTATTCATTTCAGAGACCTACAGTTAGGTAAGACAAATAATGCCATTCAGTTTTGAGAAAACAGACAGCAAGTAAATGTATGTCACATTAGGGGTGAAGGCTACTATTCTTCTTTATGGTAGGTTACAATACTCTTCACACTCATCCAGAAAAACTATGCCAAACACATCAATAGGCCAAATTGGTTGCCAAGATTGATTTTATCATTCATTAAAAGACCAGAGTGCTTATTTTGGCAAGGTTTCTTTGCCTGCAGGCATTTGTTAGGAAGTGACTGATAAGATTATTTATGTGCACAGCTGTGCTGCTACAGAGAGAGAACTATACAGGCTGTCTCAGTAACATCAGAGTCTATAAAATTGGGTGAAATCAAAAGATGTGGGATTTCTTTGTGGATGTAAATGAAAATTTCTCAAATGACTATAGTATAAGGAGAGTTTAATTTCAGAAACCAAATGTATTTTAATTCCAATGATTTTGAAGACGGCCTTCATGTCATGCATGCTACCGTAATACTGAGGTCAACAGTTCAAGAATTTTCGACTTTAGATGAAAATGTGCTGCTGAATCCATGCAGTCTGTATCTTTTGAGGTCCCTGTTCTGTCTTCATCCTGAAACAAAATTGTTCTCTGGAAAGCATGTCAGTTGGTACTCTGTCCTCAGTTCTCTGTGACTGTAGGTTGATTGCTCAATGATTTGTCCTCTCCTTTCTGGAGACTGAAGCTTAGGTGGCAGTCCAATAATTACCAGGACTTCCTTTCCCCTTGTTATTAGTAGACAGACAATCCAGTAACTCACCCTTGGTCTCTAGGAAATCCTGACCTCTACATCAACCCCTAAGCCAGTCAGTGGCTGTTAAGAGTGCTAGTAAAATTAATAAGCCCCGTTATTTCTATTTCATCCTGATTTAGTTCTTGAATGCTTCTTACGCAATCCAGCTTTCTTTTTTCTCTAATTCCTATAATAAGGTGACTATTTTCTCAAATAATTATGATTGAGTTTTAAAAAATCAATAAACATACAAAAATATTAGAACTGTCTTAACTCTGAACTTCTCTATTACCAGTTTCTATTCCACTCAGGCAGTGGCTTTTCCTCATCTGTATTTGTTTAGCTTTATTTCTCCTACTTTTTCTCATTACATAACTGGAAATCCAATTTGCTTCCAATATTTCTTTTGTTCTTTCTGATCCTACAGCATTCAACTATATTTTTTCCTTTTTTATAAAACAGGTGGCTCAGTTTTTAAAAGTTAGGA